AAAAAAAAAAAAAAAAAAAAAGCCATGATTTTTCTAACCCCTGAATATAGGTTCTTTCTCACCTCCACCCGCTCTGCCCACCCCTAATTTTGCAACAGCCCTATTTATTAGCTTGTAGTTCGTCCCAGATTTATTTTCAGCAGGCATTTGAGGAGCTCCGAGAAGGGTGCTCCAGAAGAAAATGGTGCTTGCTTTTTCTAATCTGAGTATTGGACTCAGCTGTGACTCGGCTGGCAGCGACATTGCTGCTGCTGCCCCTTCCTCCCCCACTTTCTCTGCTGCTCCGTCCTTCCCTTCTCCCTCTCCTCCTCCTCGTTTCAAGTAGTGCCATTGTAGTTAAACTTCCTGTGTAGAGACAGCACCTTTTCTTCCAAAGGGAGTCAATGTTGTCACCTCAGTTCACAAATTCATGCAGCCACCTCCAGGGTAGAACGCAGCACCTGCTAAAACAGCCCCTCAGAGCAAGCCCACGGAGGCATGTTCTCTGCACTTCCCTTAAAAGGCTGGATTTTGTCTAAGGAAGTGTGGAATAGATCTTAAAATAAATGGGAAAGCTCATTTAGAATTAGATTCATTGACCTCCATTTTTCTCTGCATGTGTTGATCTTGACTGTCTGTTCTAAAGAAGAAGCTCTTTTGGGTCCTAGAATCTGTTGCTATTTTTTTACTGTTCTAGACTTTCCTGTTACCAGACTAGGCCAGATGTACACAAATCCCAAATCTTACTTCGGAGATACAAAAACTGGTTTTTACCCAATAGGATTAGGTAGCTATGTATTTATGAGCACCTGCCTGAATGCTTTGATCAGAATCTGAGGGAGCAGGTTATAAAAAAGAAGATAAAGGAACATAAAATAATAAAAATAAATTAAAAGCCCAGCCGGGCGAGGCCCAGCAGTTGAGCATCGACCTAGGATCCAGGAGATCGCAGTTCAATTCCACATCAGGGCACATGCCCGGGTTGCGGGCTTGATCTCCCCAATCAGGGGCATGCAGAAGACAGCCAATCAATGACAACTCTTTCATCACTGATATTTCTATCTCTCTCTCCCCCTCCTTTCCTCTCTTTGAAATCAATAAAGATATTTTTTTAAATAAAAATTAAAAAAACATTAAAAGACTAGACGTTGTGCCTTTCATTCTCTCAGAGACTAATAGCAATTACAATGACAAAACCATGGTTTTTAATGCTTTACATATATTATTTAACCCTGACAACAGCCTTATGAAATAAGGTACTATTATTATACTCATTTTATAGATGGGAAAACTGAAGCATAGAGATAAGTCACATAGATAGTAACTGGCAAAGCCAGAACTCAAACCCAAACATTATGGCTTCAGAACACAGGGTTCAACTAGCTACACAAAACTGCCCAGTTAAAAGAAAGCAAACATAAGCTGATTAATATATATTTGAAAATAGTTGGAAACATCCAGCAGCATGGGACCAAGACACCTCTGCCACTCCAGAGCTGTGCTCCTAGACTACTTAGATCTCTGGACCTATTTTCTAGGCCATAAAACCAGAAGTCTCATATAACTCTTAGTAATTATTTGGTTCCTGAGTACAAAATAATAACAGATCAGACACTATAATCTCAAAAATCCTACCACACTTACTTTCTATATAATTTGTCCTGCCCAGCTTTTCATTCCTATTCAACTTTTCATAAATATTACACCTCAACCAAGTTCCTCAGGGTCAGGGAACAGTCTTTTACTTATCCCCTTGAACATTCAATACAGTGGTGCTGAGACTTCCTCCCAGTGACTTATCTTTCCCCAAGGGGGGAAACCATCATTAATAGTTGACACACTGGAGATGGACAGTGGCAATGGTTGTGCAACAATGTGAATGTACTCAATGCCACTGAACTGTACACTGAAAAATGACTAAAATGGGCCCTGGCGTGTGGCTCGGTTGGTTGGGCGTCATCCTGTGCACCGAAAGGTTTCTCCTAGTCAGCCTTGACTGTGGTTCAGCATCATGATTGCTCCAATGTTCTGTCTAGCATTGAGATGGCAGCTCTAGAAGAGGGCCCAAAGAAGATATTTGCAGCAGCAAAGAAATAAAAAAGCTCTTCCGTTTGTGCTCAGGAGTAGATGGATTTCTGTTTCCAAGCATGTAATGTGGTTTTTAAGGGGAGCTGAGAAATGCCAAGAACCTGTTCAGTCTTCATGGTAGAGGTAAACCCTGATATGAGAAGCCAGAGAAGTAATCACCGTGTCATCTCGTATTTGTAAAGCCCTTTTTCCTTCCCAAACCACTTCTGTATCCACGATTTCTGTGCACCATCTGCATCCACTGGAGTATTTATATCATGATTTTACTAATGAGGAGTCAGAGCACCAGGATTGAAGTAAACTGGTCACATGCAGTGGGGAAATGCTGTTTAGAATGTCCTCTCTTAGAGAGCCACAGTCCACATCAGCAGAATGTCACTTTAATTTTAAAAACATTTGAGTTTTTTTAAGTCGTCTCATTCAAATTAGTGGAGCTCTTAACCAAGCTCTGAACTGTACACTGAAAAATGACTAAATATTTATTTAGGGATTAACACTGAACAAAGTGGAAGTATCTAGCCCGGCTGGTGTGGCTCAGCGGTTGAGCATCTACCTAGGATCCAGGAGATCTGTTTGATTCCCGATCAGGGCACACGCCCGGGTCACGGGCTTGATTCCCAGCATGGTGCTTGCAAGAGGCAGCCGATCAATGATTCTCTCATTATTGATGGTTCCCTCTCCCCCCTCCCTTCCTCTCTCTGAAATCAATAAAGACATTAAAAAAAAAAAAAAAAATTGAGGTATCTAGAATAGTCAAATCAGAGAGACAGAAAGTGGAATGGTGCTTCCCGGGGGCTCGGATAGGGGGAATGGGCAGTTATTGTTTAATGGGAGTTTCGGTTGCAGAAGATGAGTTCTGGAGATGGACAATGTGAATATACTCAGTGCCACTGAACTGTACACTGAAAAGTGACTAAAATGGGCCCTGGCGTGTGGCTCAGTTGGTTGGGCGTCACCCTGTGCACCGAAAGGGTGCTGCTGATTCTCTCAGGGCACATGCCCTGGTTGCTGGCGGGGTCCTGGGGAGGGGGCCGCTGATCGATGTTTCACCCTCACAGTCTGTTTCTCTCTCTCCCNAGCTAAAAGCTAAAAGCTTTGTCCCGGCCAGTGTGGCTCCCTTGGTTGGAGTATCACCCCACACAACAAAACGCTGCAGGTTCGATTCCCGATCAGGGCACATTACCAGGGTGCGGGTCGGGGTGCATACAGGAGACAACCAATCAATGTTTCGAGCTCGCTCTCTCTCTCCTCCTTCCTCTCTCAAAAAAAAAAAAAAAAAAATCAATACAAAATTTTTTTTAATAATTAAAAGGGTACATTTTATATTTAGAATATTTTACCATGA